GGTTAGTATAAAGGTTTAAATATAGTTAACTCCTATCTTCTAGGAGTATCCTTTAGTAGTCTATCTAGCTTTATACTTCTTAATAGTACCGTTAGCAAGCTTCTTTAGCTTATACACCTATTTTGCTTTAAGGGGAATTCTTCCCTTAAGTAGGTTACTAATTCTTTTCTACTCGATTATGCTAGTGGATTCTAGGGATTTAACTTCCTTAGATATTACCTTTCTCTACTCTAGGTATTATAATACCTCTAATATAGACTAGGGCTTAGTAATAACTGCTCCCCTAGTATATAGCTTTTTGTAGTTATGCCTAACTATAGACCTTCCTAATCGTATTTAAGAGGCTATAGGGGGTAATAGGTCCCTCTTTCTTTTACTAGTTGTCTAAGGTAGCATAAATAGCTCTATAAGCATATTAACATCTTCCTTAGTAGAGGCACTATTCTAGGGAGAGCCTTAGAGGAACTCCCCCTAATCCTTAGGGCTGCTACTAGAAGAGCTCTAGGACTATAATCTCCCCCGGATCTCTATAGGAGATAGCTTAGTAGGCTATTGTCCTTAAGGAGCTTCTTGCTCCTAGGATATTACTAAGGGTAGATCCTAAGATTAATGCTTAGTTTCTAGGATAATTACCTAAGGGTAATACTTAGGGATAGGCTGTGCCTAGGCTTCTTACCTAGTAGCCGGAGTATAAGCTTCTAGCTTAAACACTGCCTAAGCTTCTAGCTTAGGGTTAGTTGCCTAAGCTTCTAGCTTAGTAACGGGTACTATATAGGCTTCTAGCCTAGTAGGTAGAGTTATAGAACCTATAGGGCTTATATAGAAAGGCTCCCCCTAAGACTTAGGGGTATAATAACTTCTAACTATGTCTGCATATACCTAGTCCTTATTAAAAGTTATATGCGGTATAAAAATAACCTAGTGCTTCTATGCTCCCCTATAGTTAAGTATAGGGCGCTAGAGGAGGTAGTTTGTAGATAAATGCTCTTAAAATCCTACAAACTAAAAGATTTTAGCCCTTAGGGCAAACTTTGCTAAGATCTAGCGGTTA